AAGGACTCCCATCTTCAACACCTCACCAAATTTACCTCTCYTTCGGGCACTTTTCTTAGATCAATTTCCAATACGTGTTGGGGATCTCACTCCTCTACGCTCTTTATTATTTACAAAGCAGTAATGAGGTCCAAACTAGACTACTGATGCTTTTTATCAGGCTCTGCTTCCTATTCACATAAAACATTTATAATCTTCAAAGCTCTTGCTTAAGTCAACTATTGGTGCCCTAAATTTCCCCAATTTTACCTCAATTTATACCGTTGGGCGTTGGCTCCCATTCGCCTTTTTCGGCCAGTTACGATTTACACATCTCCATGTCCAATAATTTACCACCTTCTGTCTCTTCAMTCACTACGGAATGCTTCGCAATATTAGAAGCCCTTTCAACCATTTCTACCCTAACTCCTAGTAGCTCATTGTTTCCGATTCCTTATTAAGTCTTCTCAGCCTCTCCTCCGATTTTTTCAATTCCCGCCCTTATCCTATTTCTATYAGGATCTGGCAACTCCTATATGAACTTACACTTTTAGATTTKATAGTTGAATACCTTTAGTGCGCGGYCACTYTGGCATAAAAGGTAATGAATCATCGGACTCCATTGCAAAATCTATCTCCTTACACTGCAGCCCTTCTCCAACCCTGGACCGATTTTTGTCCCTTATTAAAATCCCATACTTATAATTTATAGCTCTACTAATGGGAACTAGCCCCCAATTATGTATCTTGGTACAAAAATATTTCACCATCTATACTCTCTCAACCTTGGTTTCACAACCTCAGATTAAATCTTAACATAATTACTTCTTTTTCACGCCTAAGGTTTGGTCACACTCTACTACCTTCAMACTCTTATAAACTTTCTCTCAATGACTACTCTCCTTTATGCATGTCACATATCCACGACCCCGCCATCTGCGATATTTCTCATATACTTTTTCACTGTCCCTCTCTGGCTCCCCAAATCAATATCCTTTTCACCCTAACTCGCTCTTTTAATGTCCTTTTCGACACCCAATCTATTCTCTCCTCATCAATTGTTGCAACTATTCCTCACTTATATACTTCTTGAACCATGCTGGTTTAAAAATTTAGTTTATTTGTAATATGTTTTCTATCGTTAATTTTATATTATTTTATGTAGCATTATTGTAATCATATAATTATCGAAACTAATTGACAATTGTTAACAAAT